TTTTAATTCTTATTTGGCTGAGCGAAATGACTTGAAAATTTATAGGCATGTACCTGACGTCATAGAGAACTCAGAAAAAAAATTCAGAAAAAAAAAATAAAATTGGCCCCGAAATAATTTTTGGCGGGGGCCGAACGCCATCGGGTTCGGACCCCGTACGGGACCCCGAACGCCCGTACGTACGGAGGTCTGCTCGGGGACCTCCGTACGTATGGGCTGGTGACCCTGTATATATATATTATATATATAATACTGCTCGAACGAAAAGAACAGGGGAAACCAAATTAACGGAACATGGGCGCAGCCGTGCAGAAAAAATTCACGGAACACGGCCGCAGATTTTGAAATAAAGGGGTTTTGTTCGTCACAGCTTCAGTAAGTTTCGTTAGTCAAAGATTTTTGTTGGGGATAATGAATTAATTAATGATTCTCGGAAACCACCAGCACATGGCGGCCGCAGCCATGCGGGAAAAAGATCGCGGGGATCCGCCAACTTTCGAACGTTTTGGGGCTCGGGGCTACCAGACCATGAAATGTTGTCTTGTAGAAAGAAAAAAAAAAAAAAGAAGTGCTGCGGATGGTTTTTCGGAAAAGCGTGGCACAAGTGCAGCGCCTCCAGGCCCGGGGGGGTACTGGTACTGGTACTGGTGCAAAACAGGTACTGGGGCGCTGTGCTGTTTCACGGGCAAAATGTTTCTGAGACGTGGACGTGCACGCGCTGCATACTTTTCCGAATGTGCCGGCCTGCTGCGCAGTGGAATATACATACCCAGATTTGCGGCAAAATTGTACCACGCGAAGGCCTGTTTTGCCCGGATGAGTAATCGGGCGCTCAGCAGGCCAGTACATCCCGAAAATACATCAGCAGGAAAAATTGTAGCACAACCAAAGCGCCTCGCTTAGTTGGTACATCCAAGAACTGTTGAAAATATGAATCAGACGCAAGTTAGAATCCAGATACAATCGGATGATGAACAGAATCTGAATTAATCATGTAGGGCCGGTCAGTTCAATGACGATATCTCAAGGCTGTCCATCGCCCTTTTCAAAAAGAAGAAAAGAAATGTAGCACGCACGGTCCTGTTTTGCCTGGATGAGTAATCGGCCGCTCTGCGGGCCAGTACATCCCGGATGACGCAGCATCTGGCATCCGGCTTTCGAAGAAATTTGGCTGGGAAAAGTGCTGGTGGTTTAAGTGATGATTAATGGTATTTTGTTCGATAATAAATTAATGATGATGTTGTTCGATAATAATTTTGTGGTTCCTGGCAGCAGCATCCAAACCTCTGATCAGTTATTGTGGCTGCCTGCGACATGATACACGCCGATAATGATTTTACCCGCCGTGTACTGCTTCTGCCTCGTAAATTAACCTTTTTTTTTTTCTTTTTTTTTTTTTGCATGGTGGTGTAGTTGTCTATGTGGCGGTGCAGCGCGGAATTACGGAGCAGAGTGGAGAGTCTGATGCGAGAAGGAAGCCGGCGCGAATCTGTCAAACACTATCGAGGTGAGTGCGGAATGGAGGGGGAGGAGTTGGGAGGACCCTTTTTTTTTCCGGTCTGTAGTTTTCGGCCCCTTAGTTGCACAGTGTGCAGCTGCTGATTCGTGCTGAACCTTTTGGCATTATCAGGCCTCGCTCCACTGTCAGATGGGCATCCTTCTGAAACGGTTTTCACCTCTTTGCAGTAGCAGATGCAGATCCCAGGGCTCGATCCCTAGACCTTCCCCTACCTGTGTACAGTACCTGTGTAGACCCCGAGAGYTGAACCTGTGACCTGTGTAYTCGTAAACAGTTGGTAGGCTGTCATAGGTCCGTAGGTAGCAGGGGTTCGATCTGTAGACCTGTAGAATAGAAGTCTTAGCGAGTTCCAGAAGTCCTAGCTGTAGTCCTTCTAGAAGGTCAGCAAGTGGGCAAGTGGGCAAGTGGTGAGTCAAGTGGTGGACAAACTGCAGTGCAATTGCAGTACGACGACGGTAGGTTAGCAGTGAGTCCCCACTGATTGGGTTACTACGTACCTGCTGCGCTGGAGACACCGCTATGGCGAGAGAGAGAGAGAGAGAGAGAGAGAGAGAGAGATGAGCGATTCAAGTTTGGTTGTCAATTACCTGTGAAGTGTGCCGTGCAGTTCCACGAAGAAGAAGATAGCGGCCATAGCCACGAAGCTTGACCACGGAGTAGCGAAGGAGGGTAAGAGAGTGGACAGAGGGAGAGACCGAGAAGGGAGAGAGAAGCCATAGCCGAGGAGAGGAAGAAGAGAGGCGATCAAAAAAAAAAAAAAAAAGAAGAAGAAGAGAGACAGCCGGGGTGAAAGGAGGCCAGGAAGGTGAAGGGAAGAAGAAGGTTGGTGAGGGAAGAGAAGCCGGCAGCCATAGCTGACCGGAGAGTTGACCGGAGGTGTTGACCGGAGTTGACCGGGGGTTGACCGGGGGTTGACCGAGGCGTTGACCGACATTGACCAAGACCGTTGACCAAGGCGTTGACCAAGACTTTGACCAAGCTGGAGCCGGTAAAATCTCGCCAAGCCTTCAGCCTATCCCTCACCCTATGGATGTGCTCACACCTTGTGGTACTCGCTGAAGTCAAGTCTGTTTGTCTCTTCTTTCTGCATTGATTCTCTTCTGTCTAGGTGATAGTACTCTGTGGATGAAGGATAGGGCCTTGTTGACCAAACCCACATGGGCTGAGTAGGGCTAAAAACTGTGTCTGACGACTCGACTGTCCCGGAGGCCTAACCCTCCCAAGGACCAGTACTGACCGGCGGGCTGCTCGGTGTGGCACGGTAGGCCCAAATTCCGAGCTGTGGGCTGCACAACAGGCCGTCTAAGTATTGAGAGACCTGCTGATCACGTCGTCCTGCCTGCGACGTTAAATAATCCCTGAGGAGTTACGGGGGATCTCCTTAAATGCCTCCTGATCAGCAACAGGTCTAGTAGTGACAGCCATAGTATAGGTCTAGGCTAGAGACCGTAGTTGGCAGGATCCCTGTCCGGGTTCTGTGAGTCTGAGATTGAGTCAATAGGTTTGTCAGTCAGGGGTTAGAGGCTAAGTGGTGAGGTTTGGAACCACTAATCTGGTTGTACACTTATGACCATGGTTGACACCTGGAGTGGGTTGAGTACTAGCCCCTACACCCAGGAACAACAAGAGAAGATGGCCGCCTTAGTAAGAGAGAACAAAGAGAGGAAAGAGCTCCAGAAACAGGCGAAGCTAAAGGCTATCGCAGAAGAGCAGGCGGCGAAGATGAAGAAACTGGAGGAGGAGATGAAGAGAGTTCATCAGGAGGAGGAAGAGAGGAGAAAGGCTGCTGAAGAGGAAGCAACAGCAGAAGAAGAGAAAGAGAGAATGTGTATTGAAAGTAGAGAGGGGAGTAGTGGCACGAAGAAGGATGAAGACGCAGAGATGGAGAAAAAGATCAGCGAGTGGGTTGCTAATTCATCGCCGGGGGAGGACGAGGAGGCAAAGTTCTATGTGCCTAAAGACGAGAGGGATGCGTTAGCCTAGGAGCTAGCAGCAATGGAGGACCCCCTGGAAAGACAAGAAAGGGAGGAGGATAAAAAGTTGGAGTGGAAATTGAGAATGAAGAGGGAAAAGAAGAGAAGAAGGGATGAAGTTAACAGGTTGACTGTAGAGGTGGCGAAGGTGAAGGATTGTAGGCAAGAGGTGGAGGCTCAGGCAGACACCTCAACCAAATGGGATAAGGTGTTGGGGTACTTGGAGGTGTTGATCGCAGCTTGGATAGAGGAACGCCAGGCCAATAGAGCTCAAGAGGTAGCCCTGAAGGCCATGCGGTCAGGTTTTCGGGATTTTGCACGCGATATGGTTACCCACCTTGGTGGTGAAGTCAGGCAGCTGAGGGACAGCGTAGGGAAGTTCTGCGAGGCCGCCATCGAGGGTGCCAAGGCAGTAGCCGCTGTAGAGAGCGAGGCCAGACCTGGCAAGGACCCAGTCAAACTTAAGTTCTCGGATGCATATGGAGGGAAGAAGGAAGAAAATTTCGATAACTGGGAGGCTAGTGTGAATAGCTATGTGTATCTACAACACATCCTGACTGAGGAGCAAGTTCTCGTGCCCTTCCAGGCCCTTAAGGATGAAGCGGCTAGTTTTGCTAGGTCCCTAGCGCGCGCAGCCCGTTGTGAAAACAACTTGGTTGCATATTCCAAGGTTACCCCCCTTCCTCAATTCTTCAAGCTCTTGAGGGAGCGATTTGCTGATCCAACGAGAGGCGTCAGGGCCTCTGACAACTTGCAGACGATCCGCTCGCGACAGTGGAGGAGTGCAAGAGCACTCAAGGGCGTAATGGATGACTTAGTAGCCGTCCCAGACCATCGGGTCACTAAGACCCAACTGGTCCAGTTGTTTTATCGTGCCATGCCAGAGCCCCCGCGTGGGCACTTCTTTGACAAGTCTCAACAGGCCGGCATCACATATGATGTGTTGAGTAGGGAAGTCGTCCTGTTTGAGTCAAAGTCCATGCCAGTGTCCACTTTCTGGCATAAGATCCTGGACAAGGGGAAGAAGTGGAAAGGCCGTACCATTTGAGGCCAAGTGAGGGCCAAGGATCATATGATCCTTACCTTAGAGGAAGGTGGTACATATGAGGTCCCATATAGTCAGATTGAGTGGGGCCTTGAGGAAGAGGACAGTAGCGCGGGACAGGGGAGGTCCTATGCTGCTGTCGCGGTTGGAGGGAGGCCACAAAGTAGAGGAGCAGGCCAGGGCCAAAGAGGCCAGGCCATGGGAGGCCGAGGACCGGGCGCACAGGGGGTTAGCGAACAAGGGAACCGCCAAGTGGGAGGTAGGGGTCAAGGTCCCCCGCCAAATCGCCAAGGTTCTTGTTGGTCCCCACAGCGACGAGGTGGAAGGCCACCTCGAGGAGGATGGCACTGGCAGGAACGCGTGGACCTGGGTCAGTGCGTGTTTGGTGGTGACCCGGCCCACGTTATCAAATTTTGTTTTAAGTATAGACAGACCCGATGGGCTGCCCAACAGTCAAAAGGCAGCCGCCAGTAGGGGTTGCTACTGCCCCTACTTCAAGGCCATGTGGGGAAGCGAGCGCGCGCAGACAGGAAGCTCCCAACCCACATGAGCCTACGGCAGAGGTTGCCGGCCCGTGCCTAGCTAGTTGTCTAGAGACTGCTTGTGTTAGCGTCTCTCTAGGCACGTCCCTCACAGGCGTGGCAGAAGAGTTAAAGGAGAGAATGCCTGCCTGGGCCAAAATGAAAAAGGAGAGTAAGGGACAACTGATCTTGGTAGATGTAGAAGTGTTTAGAAGCAGAGTAGGGACCCTTATAGACTCGGGGGCCACCCGTAGTTATATTAGCCGTAGAGCGCTGAAGAAGCTGAGGCTAGGTCCAAAAGTTGACAGACCCCATAGTCAGTGTCCTCGCAGACAACGCATTATGCGTGCTGAGGACTACGTAGAGGGAGTTCAGGCGTACGGGAAGGTGAAGAAAGTTCTCCATTCCCTGACTCTCCTCGTGCAGGATGACCTTCCTTTCGACATGGTGTTAGGAATGGATTGGGGAGAGGCAGCAGGGGCCACACTCCATTTGAGAGAGCATGAGTGTAGGCTCCCTAGCCCGTCAGGCAAGGTTAAGACTGCCCGCCTGTTTCATGTGTCAGGTGTAGACAACACTCTGGCACATTGTTGTCTCAGTGCTCCCGCGTTCGCGCAATTGGTGAAAAAGGAGCAGTTAGAGGACCAGGTCTTTGTAGTGTATGTTAGACCTGTCACTAAGGCCAAGGAAGAGGATAGTTCCACAGATCCAACCATTGCCAAGCTGCTGGAGGAGTTCAAGGATTTGATCGAGTCGTCGACAGGAGTAGTGCCGCGACCCATCCAGCACAGGATAGAAATAGAGCCTGGCAGTAGAACTCCTAAGGGAGCAGTCTACAGGATGTCCCCTAGGGAGTTAGAGGAGCTACGTAAGCAATTAGACGAGCTCCTGGAGAAAGGTTGGATCAGGCCCAGTTCGTCTCCTTTTGGAGCGCCTGTCCTGTTTGTCCCCAAAAAGGAAGGAGAATTACGAATGTGCATAGACTATAGGGGTCTTAATGCGATTACTGTGAAGAATGCTAAACCGCTGCCCAGGATAGACGATCTTCTAGATTGGGTGCAGGGTTGTAAGTATTTCTCTAAGATAGATTTAAAGTTCGGGTATCATCAGATAGAGGTCCATCATGATGACCAGTACAAGACTGCGTTCCGGACTAGGTACGGGCATTATGAGTTTATAGTGATGCCCTTTGGACTAACCAACGATCTAGCCACCTTTTAGCGTTGTATGAATGACCTGTTTAGACCATGGTTAGATAAGTTTGTGGTAGTTTACTTAGATGATATCTTAGTTTTTAGTAAGACCCTCCAGGAGCACCAGGGTCATCTGAGGCAGGTCTTGGAGAAGCTGAGAGAGGCTAACTTCAAGATCAACGCGAAGAAGTGTGAGTGGGCCAAGACACGAGTCTTGTACTTGGGCCATGTATTAGACGGAGATGGCATTAAGCCA